TCGCCATCCCTCATTCCATCTCTGAGGCAACCACCTTCAACTTTCAGCTCATTCTTCTGGTTTTGCCTCCATATCTCTAACACAACACACTAGTTCTTCCTGACCTCCAATATCATTATATCATCACTTGGTTTAGATGAGTAGTTACAATTTACACCATGATGATACTGCATAAACCCTATTCCCATCTGAGCCACACAATGTATCATGATAACTTTTCCTTTCCTGCTCAACTTCTTATTTCCTTTGGAGTTCATAAATGCTGTCTTTTAAATTTTGCTTAATTTTCTATTACTAATTCAACTCCAAATTCTGCCAAATGTCCAAATCTCCCCTAAGGCATTGCAGTGTATCAGGTATTGTGTCAACTCGAAAGAGACTCTGCTTTGCAAGCGTGGGGCCCAGCCTCCAGCCCCGACCTCCCTTCACCAGTGGCCCTTCACGCCTCTCTCCTGTAGAGTCCCCTGCTTCCTGGATCCATCGCTGCCTCTTTCTTGGTTTACTCCCTCTTTTTGATGGAGCACACCCTCAAGTAGCTTCCTAAGAAAGGGCATAGGGACATACATTTTTTCAAGCCTTATCATTCTAAAAAGGCCTCGCTCATGATTAATGGTTTAGCTGTGTACAAAAATCTGGGTTAGAAATCATTTAACTTCAGTATTTGGAGAGCTTTCATCCATTGGCATCAAGCTTCCAGTTTTGTTGTTGAGAAATTCGAAGCCATTCTGGTGCTGGTCATTTGTACATTACCTATTCTTTCTCTCTAGACATTCATAGGATCTTCTCTTTGCCTCCAGCGTTTTGAAATTCCCAGCGATGTGCCTTAAGTATGCATCTATTTTCATTCTTGGTTCTGAGCATTCAGTGGGTCCTCTCAATCTGGAAACTTGGATTTAATTTCTGTAAAATTCGTTTGGATTATTTCTTTTATGATTTTCTCCCTTTGTTCTCTCTTTCTGGACCTAATCTGTAGATGTTAGACCATGTAGACTGGTATTTTAATACTTTTTCTCCTTTTTTTCTTTCATTTTCAAGTTTTTCTTTTTAAGATGCAGTCTTGCCATGTTGCCCAGGCTGGTCTTGAACTCCAGGACCAACTGTTCTCCTGGGTTTTCCATGTCCATGGTTGTGTTTTTTGTTTCCAAGAGCTCTTTATATTCTTTAAGTGTTCCTTCTTTGTAGCACGCAGTTCTATCATGGTCAACACAACCTCTTCTCTTTCCTTCTTAAGGATGTCAGTGCTGGTGTTGTCTAAGCTGGCTCCTCCGAGCAGTCTCTGCTTCCTTCCAGTTGTCCTTTTTCTGTTTGTTCCATTTCTCCTTCCTGTGTCAGAGGCATCCCTGAGACGTCTGTCGTCCTGGCTCGCTGGAGAGAGCAGATCGGGCGCCTGCACCTCCCAGACAGCCTGGAAGGGCGCCTGCACCTCCCAGACAGCCTGGAGACCGACAAGGCTGTGGAGTGCAGTGAGGAGGCACTTGGGGCTGGCAGCAGCTGCCCGTGCCCAGGAACAGCCGGGCCTTGGTGTGTGCGGGCGCTCAGGCTTCGTTACAGGGGACTGGGCACCCGGGGCTCAGCTGTGCGTTGGAGCGGGGTGAGGGTGGGTAGCACATTCACCTGCGCTAGCCTGAGCTCTGGTCCCCACGCTGGTGGGTCCACATTGCCCCCTTGTGGACACTCACTGGGAGGGCCCGCACCAGCCCCTGAAGTCTGAGGTCCCGCTGGTGGCGCCATGGGCCTCAGGTGCACACCAAGCACCCCGCAGCCCAGCACAAGGTCTCTGACCAGGCTGGGCCTTGCATCCTCTGCTCTGCCCGGGCCCTTGGTGTCAGACGACCTGCGCTCTGCCCATGTGCCAAGCCACCCGAGGTACCTGCAACCACCAGTAACTGAACGCAAATCCTGCAGAATGAGAATTTTGATCAGTCAGCCAAGAAATGATTCTGGGCGCAAGTCAGGGGTCTTCCTCCAGCGGCGCTAAGGGTGGGCACAGGGTTGGCCATTGTGGCGGTGTGGCCTCAGGGCCCTCCCAAGGCCAGCCCCGACCCTGAGGGTCCTATTCCCACTGCTCTTCCACTCTCAGGGATCTGGCCCTCCCTGGGATGTGTCCTCACTGCCTGCAGCCCCAGAGCCAGCCCCACTTCCACTGGCGGGTGGCAGGTGTCCTGTCCCAGGAGGGTAAGAGGTAGGGACCCAGGAGGGAGTCCCCCTCCTCACACCACAGAATGGCGTGAGCTGGGTGACCCGGACTGGGATGGTATTGCCTGAATACTTCCTCACCAAACTCCAGAGACCCCTTCTCTACTTCCTGTGGCCTTCAGCCTGCCAGTAGCCCACCCTGGGCTCAGGTCTCAGACTCATAAATGGGTTCCGGGATTTTCTCTGCCTTGTCTGTCTCTCGGGAGCAAATGTGATGGTAGCTGCAAGCCACTCAAATACACCATTGGGGCCATCCACTTTCTTCCCACACTTGTCTGTTTCCCAAGAGTCCTATGAGGTGAATGGATGAGCTCCACACACAGGACAAGGGGCAGGGTGACTCCTAACTCGGCTGCACCAGAGGGAGGAGCGCCAGCAGGGCCCTAGCCACACCCCTATCCATGGGGCTTTGGGGAAGACTCGTGCCCCTCCTGGAGCCCAGCCTGGTCTTGCAGGTCCTCGCCAAGTGTCCATGGGTGGTCCTGGGGACAGGAATGTCTGGGCTCAATCTGTCCTGTCCCTCCAGTGGCCACTCCGCACCCTCCCCGGCTTGCTCCACTCCACCCACCCTGACTCCTCAAAGGAGGGCCGTCCAGTGTGGAGTGGGCAGGGAGGTAGACATGGTCTGCTCTGGGGCAGGCACCCAAAGTCATGGGGCAAAAGGGTGTGGCTGGAGGTGATGAAAAGCTGAGAGCAACCTTCTATCTACCACAATAAATAGTACACATTCACTGCAAACAGCCCTGTTGTCAGGGTCCCCAAGACAGCCCTCAGGTTCAGGAATTTACTAGGACTCCCAGAACTCAGACAAGCTGTCATACTCACAGTTTTGATTTATTACAGCAAAAGAACACAGATGAAAATCAGCAAAGGAAAAAAGCACAAAGAGCAGGGAGACCAGGTGGGAGCTTCTGTGTCCTCCCCTAGTGGATTTATACTGATTTATTCTCCCAGCAATCCCCGGAGTGTTGCCAACCTGGGAAGCTCACCTTCACCTTGGTGTCCAGAGTTTTTGTCAAGGGTTCGAGGCACGAGCACCCCTTTGGCTGACCTGAGTCACTGAGTCTCCAGCCCCTCCACAGGTCAAGTTCATATGTCATGACCCAAGGACCCCATCATAAATCACAGTGTTAGCCCAGACTAGCTGGTGCGGCCCAAGGTCCCCAGTTAAGTTATCAGAGTGGATATTCCAAGAGCTTAGCAGCTACCTCCTGAGAGCTGCTCAAGGGCCAAGGCCTGTTTGGAATGTGCAGGGTTTGAATACCCTAAGCCTGCTGAGTTAATCCTACACTGCACAAATCCAAACGAGTTGCAGAACATGAAAAGCAAATGCTCCCTGTATCAGCTCCCGCCAAACTCTATGCTGTGCCCGTTTGTGGACTCACCCAGTTCTGCGTGTCTGGCTCCTTCTCGTCGTCTCGTAGGTTGCAGCTGAAATATCACCTCCTCTCTAATCACTCTCCTCAAGTAGGTGCCTCCCATTTCTCCTTCTTAGCCCTTTAGTTGTTTCCTTATATAATTTTTTCCCCTTCTTTTCCTTAAACAAAATTTCCTTACTTTGCACTTATTCTTGTTTTGAGAAGGGATCTGTCTTCACCATTACAATGTTTGCCCAGGAATCCCCAGTGTCTGGCCCAGGACCTGAATCTGAGTTGAAGGCATGACCATGTTGAGTACTTCCCATGTGGCCTTGGTGAATATTTATCGCATCAGTAAGTCAGGTGTTCTTGGAGGTTTGTGATTCCTCATCCATGATTCTGAAATCCAAAAAGCTCAGAAACCTAAAATACTTTCTTAAAGTTGGTGCAAAATCTGACCTGAACAGCTATAAGGCTTTTCCCGATCTTTATCTCATTTAGTTTGAAGGGTCATCCTGTCTCTGCAGAAATCTTGATTTATCTGGTTTTGTGCTGTACCATGCCCCAGTGGGAGCACAAAGTAATATTTCAGTTATTAGTTTTCTATCGTTACGGAACGAACTATCCCAAATGTTAGCAGCTTAAGACAACAGGAAACATTTATTACTCCAGGTTCTGTGGGTCAGGACTCCAGGAGCAGTTTATCTGGGTTGGTTGTGGCTCAGGGTCTCTGTGGGGTCAATCTGTTGGCTGGGGCTGCAGTCTTTCCCAGGCTTGACTGGAGCCAGAGGATCCAATTCCAACGTGGCTCCTTCGCCATGGCGGGTAAGTTGATGCTGGCTATTGGCATGAAGGCTCAGTTCCTTGCCACAGGGCTACTTGCGTGTCCTCATGATATGGCACTCCCTCAGAGTGAGTGCTCTAAAAGAGGGCAAGGCAGTAGCCAAGATGTTTTTTGTGACCTAGCAGCGGAAGTCACATGCCAGCACTTCTGCAGTAGCCTATTGGTTACAAAGATCAGCCTTACCCAGTGCATTGGAGGGCACCACACAAGAGCATGGATATTGGAAGGAGAGATACTTTGGGATGTTGGCTACCCCAATTATATGTACCTATTTGAAACCCAAAGATTCTGATTTCCAAAACATATCTGGCCTGGAGGGTTTTGAGTGAGAGACTGTGGATTGCACAATGCCTGTTTAACAGTTGAGGGACCAGGCTCAAGGGCACTTGATGACCTGCCCCAGGCTACACATACAGCAAGTGCAGTGAAGACTCACCCCACCTCTAACAGTTCCGGGCCCAGTGCTACTTCATTTCTTCCACCCCTGTCCCTGCCAATTCGGTATGAAGTCCACAGCCACGTGGCCTGTGGGCTTGCCACAGGTACTGTGCTGGGCAAGGGTACACTCCGTCCTCCAGTCCCCACAACACTCCTACCAGGTAGGGAGGGCACTCACTCGACCTTTTTTCTGCTGAGAGGAAGCCCAGGCTTTGACAGGTAAGAAGGAGCCTTCCATAGCAGAGCCAGGTCTGCTCAGCCCAGCATCAGCGCCACAAACACCTGGCTGGATGTGGCTGCGCTCGTAGACTTGCCTGATTCTTAAAGCTTGAGTGTTTTCCTGGACTCAGCGCAAGCATGGCTGTGGATCATGTAAAGGGGACGAGGGGAGGACGAGTGCACACACACAGGGAAGAGAACCCTACCGGATCCGGAGCAGGGGACACCCAAAAGACCCCATGTGTGCTTGGGCTTCACTGTCGGGGACACTCGGCTGTGGAAAAACGTTAAGCGACTGTGTGGGAGGTTGTGGGGAGGAAAAGGATGGAGAAGCCAGGATAGGAAAGGGCGAGCTCCCTGCTGCCTCTGCTGTCCCGCCAACCCACACGTGCGACATTATAAAGGGGTGTGCAGGGGCCTGGGGTCCTGCTCTGGGCCATGGCCCTGTGCTCCGGGTGGGGAGGGCACCTCTCTGGACTCTGTCCCATGTGACCGAAATGACACGTGCTTGGCGCGCTGGAAGCTCGGCTCTTGGAACCTCACCCTTTTCCTGTTGCTGTTTGGCCCCGGGGGCGGATTCGGCCCCTCACTCAGGTCAATATCTGGCGGTCGTCTTCGACTCCTTTGTTTCCCATCAGTAGCTGCATCAGAGGCCGCTGAACACTAAACCCCAGCTACAGCCGGGGTCCGCTCCCCGACAACTCCCCAGATACAGCGGGGATGGGGGCCACTGGGACAGGCCCCGCAACCGCGGGTGCGCGTGGGGTGGACCTGAGAACAAAGGTGCGCACGGCAGGGGCGGAGCCGGGCTCTCGCGGTGGGTAGGGCCGGGCTCGGGGCGGGGCCCGGCTCTCGCGGGGGGCGGGGCGCGCCGGGAAAGGTTCCGGGAAGGCCGGCAGCCCGGCGGGCCCGGCGCGGAAGTTGCGCGGACGCGCGACTTCCACGCAGGCCGCGGCCATGTCGTCCTGGGACGCGGGGTCGGGCGGGCGGGAGGGGACCCCGCGCGCAGCCGCCGCACTCTGCAGCCTGTACCATGAGGCTGGGCAGCGGCTGCGGCGCCTGCAGGACCAGCTGGCAGCCCGGGACGCCCTCATCGCGCGCCTCCGCGCCCGCCTGGCGGCGCTCGAGGGGGACGCGGCGCCATCGCTCGTGGACACGCTGCTGGAGCAGGTGGCGCGCTTGCGGGAGCAGCTGCGGCAGCAGGAGAGCGGCGCTGCAGAGGCCCAGTTGCGCCAGGTGCGGGGCTGGCGGGGCGGTGGGCTTGGGTGTGCCTGTGAGGGGCGCGCGTCTGCGAGGGGGTGAGGGGCCTTGGTTCCGGGATGTTGTGTTCTGGGGTCCCTTCCAGTCCTCACCTGTGAACGTGTCTTTCGCTGGTAGCACTTCAGCTCTGTGCCTGCCCTGGTGACAGACAAATCCTTTTTCCTTCTCAATCCTCCTTGTCACTGATGTTACTTTACGTCTGTTTTTTATGAAAAGCCATAAGCGCGAGAGAAGTAAGAGTAACAGTACTTTTGTGTAACAGTTATTTGTGAGGGCCCCAAACATTTGGGTGAACTCTGGCATCTATTGTTCCATTTGGTTCGTGACTATTATCCCAGTTTTCTCAGGAAAGAAACTAAGCCTGCAAAAGGTGTAGCCTGTGAAAGATAGTTTTTGTTTCCAGGATTGGCCCCACAACCTGACTTTAGAGAGAAAAAGAAACATACCTCCTTTTCTGATTATAAGAGTAATTTTGAATATCCGAAAAATAAAAATAAAGAATAAAAAAGCTACCTTAGTCTCACAATTCAGGGATAGCTAGTGTTAATGTCTTGACATGGTTCCTTCCTGTTTTTCCTCTGTGCATATGGTATGCATACACTTGGCATGGTTGAGTTCATGCTGTCTATGTGGTTATGTTGTCAATATCTGCATTATTTAAAATACGTTCAGCAGCCAAATGTCTTCCGCATTCTTGCTCTCTCCCTCTTTCTGGAAGGTGGATCATGACTCATCAGAGAAGGGAAATTTGGAGGTCATCTTGTCTGTGCCAACAGATTTTAGTGTTGTGGACACCAAGAGCCACAGATGAGTACAGAGCAGGAACCCAAAGGGACCGTCTAGAATTCATTGCCAGAATGTTGATGGGAGAGTTAGGGGATATGGGCACCTCACAACCAGAGCAGGATTATACTCGCAGTCTGGTGGCCATTGATGTTCAGCTCACGTGTGTCCTCAGTGTCCTCTATATTTGTGGCCACTAACTGGGAACTCATCGCAGGTCCCTTGTGGCTCCAGATAGAACCAAGTCCATGGTCCCAGCATTACTGGTCCTCCCACTTCTGACATGTAGGTTTTGTTTTGGGATCTTTAATTAAGGAGCATTTTAATGATCTGGTATCTTATGCAATTATGTTTTTATTATTCATCCCAACATTCAGTCTGAGGTCAATCACAGAACCTGTGGAAGAATGGAGAGGTTTATCACGTCCTAGAGGCTGTGGGTTCACTGAGGTAGCAGTGCAGAGTTAAAGCCATCGGAGGAAGCAAGCTGTTGGTAGGTTGCTCTCTCCTATGGCCATGTCAGCCAGCCCATTAGGAACAGGGACCCTGGACCAGTAGGGACTGAGAGCTCCCGGAGAGGATGGTGAGGCTCAGAGGTATGGAAGAACTGACCACTGCATCTGTGGCCAGCATGTGATGGGGCCAGATCAGGCCAGTGAATTGCGGCCCTCACTGTGGCCATAGTGGGACCCAAGACCTCACCTCATCTGTAACACAAGGACTGGTTGGATAACTGTGCAAACCTTCTTCAGTTAAGACTTTCTGGAATATTGTTACTACTCAACCCCATCCCGTCACTACCCTGGGGACTGGCCTCACAGGCCTAGCCTGGTCCTGGCATATTAGCCCTCTTTCCCTTCCAACTTTTCTTTCCCTGTTCTGGCACACTCTTTATGGAGGGCAATAGGGTAGGGTACGCCCTTGACAATAGGCTGTGGTAGTTTTTGTCCTTACTCTTTGCCTTGCTCCCCCACCAAGCTCAAGCTCTTCCAGAGTGAGGAGGGGTCTTGCTGTCTCACTGCTTCCCCAGGGCACATCTTGATGGCTTGACACATGCAGTCAGGGCTCAGTGTACTGCCTTTCTTATAATTCCTATTTGCTCCTGTTCTCTCACAGTTCCATCAGCTCTTGGTATGGGGACAGCCATGAGCTGGGCTGCACCCTCCAACTAGGCACCCTATAAGGTCTGCTTGGGAAGGAGAGAGAAAGGGGACTATACTGGGTTAGACTATATCTCCCAGAATTCATGTCCACCTAGAAACTGACTTTATTTGGAAATAGGGTCTTTGCAGATGTAGTAAATTAAAATGAAGTCGTACTGAATCAGGGTGTGTCTTAATCCAATGACTGGTGTATAAAACGGCCATCTGAAGACAGAGGCAGAAATTGGAGTCATGTGTCTATAAGCCAAGGAATGCTGGAAGAACCAAGGAAGGATTCTTCCCTAGAGTGAGCATGGCCCTGCTGAC